TATTCAAATATCACATTAAAATTGGGTCATATTTATACCAAATTGAAATTTTAAATTCTCGTCGAGACATATAATAGCCCAAAGCGGTCCAAAGGGTTAAGTATCATCCTAGAATGGCCAAAGTTTCATGGTAACTGCAGAAGCAAAAAAATTAAAAATTTGGTGAAAAACATTAAAAAAAATTAGCCAAAAAATATAGTATAAATTGCTTTACCATGCTAGCTTTATAGACATGGAAAAGGGTATGTACTTATTTTTGTGTTGTTTGCCTCAATGCTTAAAAAACAAGCGCATTTACAGATATAAAGTGATATGCGTTATTATATTTATCACTAAATTAACTATTCCCGCATAGAAGTATATAATAACCTAGATTTAAGATAGCTTCTTCTTCAATATCAGACCAATAAGTACCAATTTAATTATTTTTGCAGATGTTTAATGCCCATGTAAATGTTCATGTTATTGTTTTTCATAATTATGTTGTTGATATGGACTGTGACATTGTTGGCGTTACCGAAACCTGGCTAAACCCAGAAATAGACAGTAATTTGGTTGATTTAAATGATTATAAATTTATTAGATAAGATAGACTCACCAGAGGCGGAGGTATTGGTATGTATATAAGGCAGCAACTAAGATGTAATTTAAGGTGTTATAGAATATCTATGGATTAAGGTTTGTGTGGCGGATTTAAAAATTGTAGTAAGTACTGTATATAGGCAACCAAGAGGTGAAAATTTATTCTTTTTGGATCAAGTTAACGTTTTCCAACATTTTTTCAAATTTTGATTATATTATATGTGTAGGAGATTTTAATATAGACATGTTGGGTATTGATGATTGTACTATAATTCGTTTTAACAAGATACTTAAAAAATTTGATCTAATACAAATAATTAAAGAACCAACAAGTGGTAACTCTTTGTTAGACTTATTTATTACTAATATTAATATCAATTTCTTTACAGAATTTGTTAATCATAATCTAGTTGTGGATCATTCACCAATAAACTGCAAATTTAAAAATGTTCACAATGTACCTCAAAACGACTTTAAAGTAGAATATAGGTCACTTACAAAGATTAATCATGCACATTCTTCAAATAATTTAGCATCTATGCCCTTATTTTACTGAAAACATTGTTAAAAAAGTTTTTAAATAGCTACAAAATTACAGTTCTAGATACACATGCTCCAAAAAAATCAAAAACTAGAAAACTAATTAAACATTCTTCCTGGATTACTGAAAATATTATTTATATGCAAAGGCTTAGAGATAAAGCCTTGCAAAAATTTCGCAAAACACAACTTCCAACGCATTGGTATTACTATAAACAATTAAGAAACTACACAACAACAGCTATAAAAGCAGAAAAAAAGGCTTATTTAAATTTAAATTTTAAACTTGTAATATTAAGGAAAAATAGTCAGAATTAAAAAAACTCAAAATATCGGGACAAAAAAAAAATTGACATACCTACAAACCTAGAAGATGTTAATGCCATTAACACATTTTTTACTTCAAACATTAAGAACTCTGCTATACAAATAGATTTACAAAATTTTTACCTCAACAATTAAAGAAAATATAACTGAAGATTTTTATTTTAATGATGTTTCGGAAGATGTCAATAATATTATCTACATCATCAAATCTGCATTATCTAGTAAACAATCTGGTTTTATGTCAGGCTATAGCTGTGCTACAGCTCTAGCGGATGTTATACATGGATAAAGACAAGACTTCTATCTTAATACTATTAGATTTCTCGAAAGCTTTCGATAATATAAATCATAAAATTTTACTTGCCATGTTGAAGTTTTTTAGATTAAATAATACATCTGTGTCTCTATTGAAATCACATCTTTATCAGCGAAAACAAATTGTTCAAATAGATAATATGTCTTCCACACCGTTGGAGATTACATCTGATATACCTCAAGGTAGTATTTTAGGCCCTTTATTATTTACTCTCTATTCACAATTTCCAAGTATACTTAAATACTGTAATTATCATTTATACGCTGATGACACCCAATTATGAGTCAATTAAGCGGGGTTTTCCTAGCAACCCACATTTTACGCGGCGTAGAACGTAATTCGGTCGGCATAAAACGCTGAGAACATGTCTAATGAAAATCAAATGGAGTCGTTTTCCTACAGGGCACAAAAACGACTTGCGTCGCGTAATACTGTCGACGCAACGGGACGACTGCTCGGAGAGAAGTCTATTCAGTCGTACGCTGCGTTTTAAAAGGAATGTGCTCCTAATTTGCAACAAAATGACCTCACAAAAACAACAAATTCGTTTTAGTGCTACTGAAGATGAACAATTAATAATTGAAATCGTTAGTGGTTATCCTATTTTTTGGGGCATGAAACTGAAGGAATTTACAAATGTAGTGAAAAATGGACACAATCTGGAATGAAATGGACAAAATGTGGTTATAATGTCAATTTCTTCTTGCAAAATTTCATCTTGCAGTATTAAAAATTCCAAAGCAAATTTATTTTTACAACTATTTGATCCACTCATCGCGATGATCAGGATGATCAGGAAAACACTTTTACGCAACGCGTTGGATGTTTCGTTGCGTCGGCCGTATTACGTTCTACGCTGCGTAAAATGTGCGTTGTTAGGAAAACGCCGCTTGAGGGATTAAGTAAACTCCTCGACATTATTAAAAATTAATGACGCGTTTATCCCAATTGTTACGCAAGACAAAACCTTAGGTTTTACTGTAGATTAAAAATTGCAGTTTGAACAACATATTACTTCAAAATTAAAATTTTCTTATGCAAGTTTGAAACTAATATATGCGCAACGATATTTTCTATTACCAGATGTAAAAAAAAATGTTATGTGATTAACTAGTATTATCAAATTTTAATCATTGTGTATATGGTCTATGTTTAAACATTTTCAAGTCTGAAAGAACTCAAAAATTGCAGAATTCTTGTGTACGGTTAATATTTGGAATTCATGAATATGATCACAGTTCTACTAAATTTAAAGAAACTACATGGTTAAATATGGTTAATAGAAGAAATTTACATTTTGCTTGTCTCAGTCAAAAATTATTTAATAGGAGGACACCGCCATACTTCATGAAAAATTAACATTTAGAACTGATATTCATAACCCAAGTATTCGATTTAAATCCATACTTAAGATTGCCTAGATTTTTCAAAGCTACCATAACGACGTAACATAAATTTCTGAAATGCTTAGGAGAGCTAAAAATATGTCGAAAATATACATCATCAAGGTTTCTAAATTCATTCTTATTTCGAATACATTATTGTACATATTTCCTACTATTGTACTTTTAACAATACCTTTTACAAAAATCAAAAGTTTTTCGCAATATAATTTTTTGATAACTCAGTTTGCCATTTTTTTCTGTTACGTCGTTATGGTTCTTAACCCTCGATATCAATAACCTGTTGATCCAACATTATTAAATTTGAAACCAGAAACCTTTAAATGCTGCTATAAAAATATACTGCTGCAAACACAATAATTACTTTTTATTTTTACTCTTTTTTCTTTTCTTCTTTATTCTCTAATATCTCTTTATGCTTTTCTTTATCCTTTTTTCCCTCTTTTCTTCACTTCTCATTAAATTTTTCTTATAATTTTAGAAAGCCGTCTCAAAAGGCATTTTTTTATATCATGTTGGCATTGGTGGAAGACCAGGGGTGGATAATATCTGCACCTGAACCAATTTGGGCCAATTGTCTACTGAATTTTTTTATATATATATATTTTTAATTGTATAAACTGTACTTTATGTACTTTACATGTGGACTATAAATGTGTTGTTATTAATATTATTAATATTTATTAATTTTAAGTTCTATTATATTTAACTTTATTGTATATACGTATGCATGAATATTTTATCCAAAAAATGTATAGATAAATAAAAGAAAATTTATAGAGAGTAAATATAGAGTCATCCAAAAAGATGTTTCTACAGTAGACCTTAGAAAAATTTAGGCATGTGGGAGCTTATAATTCTTTTTCGTTTTATATGTTACTTTGACTTTAATTTAGGGCCGTTCTTAGTAATCACAGACATGACTCGACATGATCCAGAAATCTCTCATGAATTAATTTAAAAACGCGCGATATTGAGAAACACTATTCCTGAAAAATACCTATAAATAGAAAAAATATTTCTATAATGACAGTATTGTTTTTTTTTTTTTTCATCTGATAGCATCGTTTATAAATTAGGGCCATTATAATCGTATCTGTTAATGAAAACAAAACAATACAAAAAAAAGTCTCTCATCACCCGCCTCCTGTGATGTTCATCACGATCTACTTGTGAGAGAAATGTAATTAAGAGTTGTTACAAAATGAGATTTTCGAAATAAAATTTATTTCCTTTGTAATTCGAACGGAAAAGGCCCTTTTTGTAATACGAAATACAATTATCATTTAGTTTTATTGTTCTTCGTTCGTGGTGCTGTTGATAAATTATGAGGATTTTATGCTTTTAGGTTTTATTTAAGTAATATTTACATCAGTTTGAATGTTGTATAAATGAATCGTTTGTAGGTTATGATGGTAATGACAATAACTTTGATCAATACAGGTCGTTTTAATATATAGGCCGAACATTATTTTATTGTGTTAAAACAAATTTTGGTGTTATAAAAAAGTTGCTTATCCTTCTCCATTGACACCCGTGTTTCTGTGGTTTATATTTTAATTAATTTTATGAAACTTACTAATCGAGTTCCTAACGTACATTTTATTGCCTCAGTGAACAATAGTGAAAGTGCAAAAGCTGTAAGTCATAATAAACCTTAATAATATTTTAAAATCTACATCAATTTGCCAGAAAATCCGAAAAATTTTATCGACAAGTTTCTGTTATCACTGCACAAAAAATAGCTGGCAATATCGACCTATGCTAATTGCTTTAAGACGATTCCATATCTCAAATCTACAAAGTCCCAGTGTGATGGGTGTAAATTTTTCATGCATTTAAACTGTACTGATTTAAAAGCCGATGATCGTGTCACTCGCCAAAAACTTCGATGCATTAAAATAGTTTGTAACCGTTGCTCCTCAATCATAGATCAGTTTAGCGAAGTTAAGGGTATCCTAGAGACATTTAAAATAAATATTGTTAAAAAGGTTGATTCTTTTGATGATAAACATTCAATAATCAGCTATCAGTATTTAAGGACCAAGTTAAAAATACCGAATCTCTTCGTTCTCCTAAATTTATCGAAACTGTTACTGCAGAAGCAGTTGATGCGCCAGGCCAAGAATATTCTAATTCGCGAAATCGCAGAGGCCCAAGGAGACAGCGCTGTGAAGAAAGAACACGATAAAGAAAAACTCGGTTTGATACTGAGCTCGCTCGGTTCAACAGCCGAAATGGTTTCTTTTTATGGAATTAGAAAACCAAATTCTAACAATAAATACCCTCGAATGATTAAAGTCACTTTTCAATGCGAATCTGATGCTTTATTCTTCGTTCGAATCGTAAACTGATGGATAATAAGACAAGGGTTTTAGTATCACCGAGGACAAAACTCAGGCTCAAAATTCATACTTAAACGAACTTAAACGAAATGACACTGATGACTGGACTATCAAGTACATTAATGGATAATCAATGATTGTACAAAAATTTCAGCATCAACTGGTTTATCTTCAACTTTTAATGATTGGCTCTTATTGTACACAAATTAAGATTCTCTACCGAAAAAATTCAATGAATTTATTTGTCTAATTCAATTCAAAAAACTGGACCTTATTTTAATTACCGAAACGTGGCTCAAAGTAAATATTCCAGACAGGTTAATCTCTATTGCTAATTACCAGATTTTTAGATCTGATCGAATTGATAGACGAGGAGGGGGAGTATGTATATATGTAGCTCAACATATCCTAGACTGTTTTACAATCTCGTCCGTAGATATCTCAGTTCCTCATATTGATTCTCTTTGTTTGCAGCTGCAACATCTCAATTGCCGTATTACTCTTGCAGTTATTTACCGTCTGCCAGACACACCTGTTGCTACTGACGCGGCTCTTCTAGACAAACTCGATGTCCTAAGTGGTTCTGAAAATCTGATTATAGTAGATGATTTCAATTTTCCAGACATTAAATGGTCAATAACTTCCATTCCTGACACGCAGAATTTTACCAATCAGTTCATGGAATTTATCCACAATTCTAGTTTTGTTCAACTAATAATCCAACCCACGAGATTTAGAATCCGGAACCTTCTACCCTCGATCTACTACTTATCAATGATTAACAACTCTTAACCCCACCGGTGTATCTCCCACCAGTTGGAATATCTGATCATACAGTCATAACATGTCGTTTACAATTTCAATCATTCTCTTCTTGCACATCCAATCAAACTATCTTCTTTGATGAAGTTTTTTCCTATCTAGACCAACTAGACTGGATTAATATTATCCCTGAAAATAATGATCCGAGCTGCATGTGGAATATCTTTCAAAATACGGTTAATGATTGTATAAAATCTCAAACTAAAAACAAAATAAACAGAAGAACAAATCTAAAACCCTGGATAAATAATCAACTGCTGTCTAGGGTAAAACATAAGAAACACCTATACAAAAAATTTAAGCGAACCACCAATATGAACGATTTCTCTACTAAACGACTATTTTCCAATCAACTAAAGGCCGCAATTATTGAAGCAAAGTATAACTATCAGGAGTACATTGCCAACTGTGCTGATAGCAAAAAGTTCTATAAATAAGTTAAAACAAATCTGACATCCAAAATGTCCGTACCTTTTCTACAAAAAGAAAACGGAGATAAGTGTGCCAACAATACTAAATATGCTTAACTTCTTTCTAACACCTTTTATAATGACTTCACCCTTGAAGATCTGACATCACCACTTCCAGATATTTCACTAAACAGAATACATGCCTCAATTTCCAACGTATCGTTTGGCCCAGACATAATAAAAGACAAACTTAAAATGCCTAAGTCCAACTCCTTACCAGGCTTAGATGGTATCTCCTCTTTTCTTTTAAAATCTTGTGTTGACATTCTCTGTTATCCCATTTCCCGTATAATGACCTCCTCCTTTAATTCTTACATCTTGCCATCTATATGGAATACTGCGCCAGTGACTGCCATATTCAAAAAGGGCAAAAACCTTGACCCAAATAAATATAGACCGATAAGCCTTGTACCAATAGTTTGTAAAGTAAAGAAGTTCATTATATGTGATAAGGTAACTGACTTTCTCTTAAACGAACGTGTACTTTCCACCCAACAACATGGATTTATCAGAGGACGATCTACCTTAACTAATATTATGCAGTATGTCAATGACTGGACAATAGCCTTTGATGCTGGTCTTCCTACAGATGTTATATACTTGGATTTTTCTAAAGCCTTTGATAGAATTCCAAAGCACCGAATTTTCAAAAAGATTTAACACCTTGGAATCCAAGGTAACTTAATAGATTGGGTAACGGACTTCTTAATCTGCAGACAATTTCGCGTTAGAGTTGGTATTAGTTTCTCTTAAACCAAATCAGTTATCAGTGGAGTGCCTCAAGGATCAGTCATTGGTCCCCTACTTTTCTATTATATACTGCCGATATTTCTGTGCACATAAAAAGCTGTTGCTCCTTCTATGGAGACGATACAAAAATTTACAGCTATTCCGTTGCGGATTACGTTGCGGTTTCTTTTGTCGGTTTCGATTATCAAAAGCACTAATGAAATCAATAAATATTCTTCATCTTTTGAAACAATTAAAAATCTTTTGTATTATGGGTTCATTATAAAATTTATACGGTATCTCTATCCCTTTATAAATCTTTTTTTTTATATAAATACATCAAATAGACAATAAGTAACATTAAACATCAACAAAAATCAAAATAAGAAGAGAAGGAGCTTTTTTTGTTTTAAAATATATAATTTGACTTATTTATGACATAGAACAAGTAATTTATCCTAAATTTTATACCAACACAAGAAAAATTAATACATAACCATAGGTTGTGAATCGGGTTCTTTCGGTTAATGTCCTGGTAAAGGTATCTTAACCCAAAGAGTTAACCACTGATTGTGAAATTGGCTGAAGTGGAAGAAATCATTCCTAAACAGCAACATGAATTTGTAAAAGTGTGATTAACCATAACGAACCTGATTTGGTGTGTAAATAAGTGGACAATTTCATTAAACAGAAAAAACCCGTAGATATTATTTAGTTAAATTTCGCGAATGGTTTGGATCGTATGTTCAAACGAACATTACTACATAAGTTAGAACACCTTGGTATTCATGGTATCATTTCTAACTGCGTTAAAGTTAGAAAATTGCATTCATTTGAAAGATTAGTCTTGGGTGGAGTTCCTAAGTGATCAGCTTCGGTTTCACTCTTATTAATATTATATGCCAGTGATCTTGAATTCCATATCAAGTGCAACAATGTTTTTTACGCGAATAAAACTAAAATATTTAGTGAGACATCTCTAAACTTCCAGCAGCTTTAAAATGACCTTGGCTTCATCTTTAACTGGTGCTCAGATTGGATGCTACCTCTAAATTCAAATAAAAGTGTGGCTCTCCATATTGGTAAAAATAATCCTCGTCATTACTTTTAAACGGTCAAACGTTAAATAAAGTAAAATCTTACAATGCTCTAGGTGTGATAATTACTGAAAATCTCAGCTTGTCTGAGCACGTTCTCCAAGTGTCAAAAGAGTGAACACAAAAATTTGTTTATTAAAGAAGACATTCGCAAAAGTGTCTTTTCAAAATTTTATCCGATTACATAAATTATACATTTATCATGGAGTATAGCGGATCTGTGTGGCGTCCGGAACTTGTGCGGGATAAAAATACTCTTGAAAATGTGCAGCGCCGTCAACCAGACTATCTTTCGAGCATGTGAGACCTAATTAATTACACAGAGAGACTACAAACGTTTGAAAATCGCCGTCTGCGGGTTGATGTGATAATTTTTTTTTCTAATTTTGAAATATAAATTTGGAAACTTAAAATGTATTTTTATCGTAGACAGTGAAAGTCGACTACGTAGTCATGAATGTAAACTAAAAAAAGAATAATTTTTCAATAGGAGCAAAACTTTTTATTCAATCGAATATCCTCCACTTGCAACTCTCTACCGAAAAATGTAATTAATGCTCCATCGGTTAATGTTTTAAGAAAGAACTTGACAATTTTTCTATTTTCAAATTAACATTTCAATTGAGGAGTCTATTTCCAAAACTTCTAAAATTCACTCAACCATTTTTTTAGTAAACAAATAAAACCTCTCACTATTCTCATAAGTACACTAAATTATTTATAATTATCTTGGTATCATTATGGTGTATCACTACTTTATTTGTATGCATTAAAATAAAATTGTCATGGAAATAAGTTCAGATTTCAAAAAACAAATGGATTTAAGCAGTGTTGACACAGTACGATGGATCTAAAAGTGTTGAATAAGTCGTAAATGGATAAAAAAGAGTTTTGCATACCTAAGTAAAACAATCTTTTTGTTACAGAAAAAAACTTTAATATCCATGTAAGTTTGAATTCCAAAAAATCATTGAAATTAAAGAGAAAATTAAAAAATGGAATATCCAATATCAGATCCGAAGCCCATCTTCTTCCATGTTGGGGAGAGTGGTATCTTTATCAGGCGCTTCTAGCTGATTGTCATCATTATTATCAATAATCCTTTGATAAAACGTTGAACCCACCCCACACACGTTTCTCCAATCTTGACCAAAATGCTTTTTCAAACGGTTATCTACATCATTTAACTTCAATGAATTGACTGGAACTTTTTTTGGCAATAGTTCTGGAATAATATTTGCTAGACTTTTTCCTTTTTTTAGCACAGACTTGTACACTCCCATATTGGCGCGGTAGTTAGCTTCACCTCTAACAAGGCCTTTTTTCCTGATAAACTAGCTTCTTTTTTAATTATCATCCGCTTCGCCAAAGAAAATTGTAAATGCCATAAGCCAGGTGGTTTCACGTGAGTCTCTACTGCTTTTCCATGTCTAGTAGAGTCGCAAACTCGGAAAATATAGCCCTATACTCCTTTGGATCAATTATGACCTCTTTTCTTTTCACAACCTTCTGTAATTTTTCGAAATTTCTGTCTGGTGGTAAATATGAGTGGCCTGCAATAGAATAGATGACGTAAATCTCCTCAACAGCAGATCTGATAGAGTATAGCCAATTAATCAGCATATCTACATAGGCAAAACAACAAAAGTTACATTGGAAAACAAAAAAAACAAAATTACTAACCTATTATAGTGACGTTCTTGTTTTGTCCTGGACATCCGTCGCAATTAAGTTTCAATACAGTAACGTTTGTAAGGCTCAAAGAAGTGTCTTTTGCTTGTAACGTCGATGACATTTCATTAGAACCCTTGCTTCTGAGATTGTCTGTCCATGTGTAACAAGTAATTGTATCCTTTGTCTGTTTGGCTTCTGAATGACCTTCACAAACTGTGAAGTTGTGTAGGTACAACTGCATAGAATAATAGGCGGCTTGGTCGAAAATCCGGGGAACAACTATATTTTTTGAGCAATCAAATGTTAATATGATTACGTTCTCTTCCGAGAATTCTACCATTTCAATAAATGCTTTTGCTTTAAATTTATGCACTCTCAATTTGCATATTAGTTCGGTCTTCATTTGCCCAGTTCAGATTGAAATTAGACCTTTCAGTCTAATAAACTCTGAACAAGCGTCTGTTGCAGGGCTCTTAAAACTGATATTAAAATCAGTAACAAAGATTTTGCGAAAGTATTCATATTTTACAAGCAAGTCTGGATTCTGGTTACAATAGGCTTTCCACAAATGCCTGATACTACAGTTGCTAGGCATATATTGACGTTGGGACCCTTCTCTACCATAGTGTGAATCGAAGCACTTCTGACTCAAGATAAAATTACTTATACTTTCCTTTATCGTCAAAAAATGTCTGCTTCTTTTGTCGCCATCTCTATTTTCTTTCGGCTGAGTCTGAGTACCATGGGCAAGATAATGCCTGCATAGATGTTGGACTCTAAATCTTAAAATATTGAAGATAGAAAGAAAAGCTTTGCTCCAAATTTCCCGTTGACCTTCTTTAGTATTAATAAAGTAGGAGACAGTGACTGAATCAGGATGTGTCCCGTTTGTAGGACGGCGTCTTTTTGGCTGCCTTTATGACGTATGTTTCAAAATGAACTTGTCTTGCTCTACTTTATTTCTATTTGCATAAAATGCATCTTAAAATTTTCTTATATCTTGCATGGATAACGTAGAATAAGAAAATTGGGCTTCTTGTAAATGCAATTTGGATGAGTGGGGAGTCTTTTAGGTCTATGCATATGAAAATAAAGAAACCGCATCACAAAATACAATAATTTGTAAAGAGCTTAACTTGCACTTTTGGGAAGTACATGAGTGAAATGTCAAGGACTAAAGCAGTTGTGATAGCATATACACAATCACGCCATTAACAATGCAACGGATTAAATAAGTTTTAAAAACAAATGTCAATGATGGATTTAAATAGATTTCAAACAGTAACCGCAATGGATTAAAAAAGTTTTTTACAGTACCCAATATTCACGATTCAATTTTCAGGGCATTTCTCGAGTTTTGGTGCCAAAATTATTTGCTGTCATAAAGCTGTTTAACAAAGGAAGGCAGTGCCGCCTGAATCTTAGTTTTGATATAAAATGGATTAAAGCAGTTTTGGAAATAGGCTGCTCAATTTGCTTCATTAATTGTTTGTTGTTCATAGATTGTTTACTTAACCTTAATACAATGTCGAGCATAAAATTAGGGCCACCTCGTAATTTGCTTTTAATTCATTTTTTATTTTTTTTTGCTAACTTCATGCGATGTTTTTGTCGTGCTTGCTTGGATAAAAAAAATGTTTGATGTATCAATACGTGTTTGAAAAAAAGGGCCTCCCACCCAAATTTCTCAAATTCATTATCATATTTTTTGTGTCAGTTGTCATATCACTCTATAAGGCATTCCAAACTGAATGACTACCAGTGGGTTTTGACAGGTTATGATGTGGCAAAGTTATGGCAACTCTGTAGGCCTGGTGATTTGACAAGGTGAGTGAAATAGATAGTTACATAGATTGATCATCCCCATTTTTTAAAATAAACATAAGCTTATGTCTTGAAGTAAAAATATAAGCAATTATTATTTTTTAAATAGCTAAAGTCTGAAAATAAAACACATTTTTGCTAAACTGATTCAAATTAATAAATATTTGCCAGGCAATATGGCTGTTCGCAAACGACCAGCTTTGAGCAATGTATAGGGGAGGCCGGGGTTAGTTGGGACGCGGGGTAAGTTGGTCAGTCGGTTATATTTGGGCTTCCGTACGGCAGAGGCCGCTGAGAATTGCAGTGCATGTTAGAAATGTGATTTAATTAGTTGGTGTTCAACGGTGATACTGTGCAGTTTATCTCGGGAAGAAAAAAAAATATTCGTAGTGTGAAGCAAGCGTAAGTAAAAATTAAATGTTTTATTTGATTTGTATTAAATCTTGTTGATGATAGATTTTGAATTATTTATTTATGAGAATGTCTAGTGGGTACATTTCAGATTTAAATGCAATTTAAAACAATAATATATCACATACAATAAAGCCGATATTACCATTTTTGTGAACATAATGGCTATGGGGTTAGTTGAGCAATTCTTGTCGGGGTTAGTTGATCATATTTCTAGCAGGGTCTATTTACTACCTGTTTTTGCATTACAAATAATTTGAACTGAATTTGGTTCTCGGTACATTATAGTAGTTCTACTAAGTGATGTTGTTTTAATTTATCCTTTCAGGTTTGTGTGAAATAAAAATTTAATATAATTATGAGGACCTACAAAAAAATATCAAATAGAGGCAAAACTCCTGGAGATATAATGTTAAGAGCAATACGCGCTGTAAAAGCAGGTCAGTCAGTATACTCAGCTTCGCAAGAGTTTGAAATACCAAGAATGACGTTGACTCGTTACGTGAAAAAATTTTCAGAAGAGGAAGTTACAGGACAAGAAGTTGCATCTGTAACGAAAGTGGGATATACCAAACACAGACAGGTAACAATACAAACAATCGAGTATCGTACTTTCTTACTAAGGAATGGTCTTGATTTTTTTTTAGGTGTTTACTGATAAGCAGGAAGAGAATTTGTCAACCTATCTGAAGAAGGCGGCCGATATTTATTATGGGCTTACCCCGAAAGAGGTAAGAAGGTTTGCTTATCTTTGTGCAAAAACATTTAAAATCAAAATCCCAAAAAATTGGACAGAAAATGAAATGGCGGGAGCGGATTGGTTTTCTTCGTTTTTAAAGAGAAATACAACATTAGCCATCAGAACCCCAGAAGCAACAAGTCTTGCTTGGTCAACAAGCTTCAATAAAACTAATGTTGGTAAATTTTTTGACAACTTACAAAATGTTTTAAATAGACTAAAAATTACTGAAGCTGACATCTGGAACATGGACGAAACAGGTATAACAACCGTCCAGAAGCCTGATCGACTTGTAGGTAGAAAGGGAATGAAACAAATTGGACGCGTTACTTCTTCTGAAAGAGGGACCCTGATTACACTCGCATATGCAGTTTCGGCTGGAGGGAATACAGTTCCTCCATATTTCATTTTCCCCCGAGTTAATTTTAAACCTCACTTTCTGAATTGCAGTCCTCCAGGAAGCGCTGGTGGTGCCAACCCATCTGGGTGGATGAAAGAAAGCCACTTTGTTGAATATGTTAAACATTTCGTGAAACATACAAAGTCATCCACAGAAAAACCAACATTATTATTGTTGGATAATCACGATTCCCATCTGTCAATTGAGGCCCTCAACTATTGCAAAGACAATGGAGTTACAGTGTTGTCGTTTCCCCCACACTGTAGCCACAAACTACAACCTCTAGATAGAAGCGTATATGGACCGCTAAAAAAATACGTTAATACTTCCTGTGACGATTGGATGACTAATCACCCTGGAGCCACTATGACAATCTACGATATTCCTGGTATCGTTAAGATAGCCTTACCCCTAGCAGCAACTCCTTCAAATATAATGTCGGGTTTTAAAGTGTCCGGTATATCGCCTTTTAATAGAAACATTTTCTCAGACGCTGATTTCATGCCTGCATATGTAACAGATAGACCGGAACCAGAGGAGTTACTTGTAACTGATCCTACTCATCAACAGAATTTCGATGAACCATCAAGCAGGGTCATTAACGAAGAAATTGTTATACGACCAGAACCAAGCCATACAACTCCTCCTAAAGAAAATATTCTACCAAGTTGTAGTACATCTTTGGAAAATATTAGACCTCTACCAAAAGCAGGAGCAAGAAAAACGAATAAAATTAATAAACGAAAGAGGGTGTCTGCAATTTTAACTGACACGCCTATTAAAGACTCTTTGGAACAGGAAAAAAATGAAGCACTTGAGAAGAAGACAAAACGAATAAAGAAAAATGTATTTGATGAGTCAAATAACAAGAAAGGAAAGCAAATAATAAAGAGGTCTACGAAAAAAAATAAAGCAGAAGACAGTTCGGCAGACGAGGACGAAACATTTTGCCTTATTTGTATGGAACCTTGGTCGAATAGTCGACCAAAAGAAAAATGGATCCAATGCACCACGTGTAAATTTTGGGCTCACGAAAATTGCGCAGATTCTGATCTATTTTACACGTGCCATAATTGTAATTCAGATGCAGATTCAGATAATTAACTTTTCAAGTAGTTTATGTTGGTTTTTGTGTTTTAAATAAACTTGTTTTGTGTTAGTTTTCTATTATTAAAAATTTAGCATTTTTGTTGTTGTTGTTTTGTGTATATGAAAAAACATAAGTATCACTTTTAAACTATGGCAGCACCGTATGTTCAACTTACCCCAGCACATTGACCAACTAGCCCCACACACGGGGTAAATTGGGCAGAATGACACTACGTATTATAAATATTAATTTTATTAGTTTCTAAATGAAAATATAACTTTTTTTTATTGAAATGAATAGCATAATTATATATAATTATCAGTATATTTTTTTAATTATTCCCAATATATCCTTGTTAAAAAAAAAAAATAAACGTCCAAATGTGACCAACTAACCCCGGTCTCCCCTACAGGGTGGCTCACGCTCAACGGGACGAAGCTATATGGGAAAACGACCAAAGATATAAAAAATTCGTTTGGGAGGAA